CACACACAGGACACTTCAGAAAGTGCTTTGTTCAAGCCTTGGGGAATTTTGTCTCTGTCGGTTGAATAACTCAGTTTCATTTGGCTAGACTGAATTCAGTGAATGATTCACACAATTAATGTAATATTTATACACAAAACAGCATTGTGTTTTATTTAGGGAATAGATTCACCCTCATATCTACCCAAACCCATACTTTCTCAAAATGAGATGCTGTTCTTTCGCAAAAAAGTCGCCAAAAATGTTTAAATTTGGGTCTGTTTCTTATAAAGCTATCAAATGATTTTGCACAAATGTGGACTGCTATTATGGTGCTTTTTTGTTAAATCGTATCGTTTTAATTTCTCGGCGTGATCGTATAATGAGGACACACACCCATGTGTGTCGCATAAGTGACTTGGAGGGCGAGGTGTGTGACCCTGTTTTTGGAGAAATCACTTCCAGCGCTTGAGGAGCTGTTTGACATTTGGTTTTGACATCAGGGCTGGGAATCTTCATCAAAAAATGTTAATTCAGAGAATGCACCGCTTAAAGGGACTCGTCGAAGAGCACCATTCTTTAATTGATGTCTGGTGGAGGGCGCATTAATTAAATGTGTGACAATAATTGATTAATGTTTATAGTTTCGGTGGGCATTACAGCACTGGTCTATGATCGTACAAAATGAGTTATTTTCATCGTCATTGTAGAAATAATTTGTTTTCTGATGTATTTGTGAGCCATAGTACATTTATTAAGCAACTAAAAGTTGGGAAAAATAAGACAACATTTGAGATTTAACTTTTTATTGGTTTTTAACAAAAGTGTCACAGACTCACCTACCATAAGTTGCAAGGTTGGTAAGTGATGATATATCCTTTTTCTTTTTGCTTTTTCTAAAAATTGAGTTTAATTGACAAATTCCCCGGCAAACACAGAGAAGTAGATCCAGCTACAATGTTCTTCATAAACACAGAGAAGTAGATCCGGCTACAATGTTCTTCATAAACACAGAGAAGTAGATCCGGCTACAATGTTCTTCATAAAAGTAGATCCGGCTACAATGTTCTTCATAAAAGTAGATCCGGCTACAATGTTCTTCATAAAAGTAGATCCTGGTACAATGTCCTTCATAAAAGTAGATCCGGCTACAATGTCCTTCATAAAAGTAGATCCGGCTACAATGTTCTTCATAAAAGTAGATCCGGCTACAATGTTCTTCATAAAAGTAGATCCGGCTACAATGTTCTTCATAAAAGTAGATCCGGCTACAATGTTCTTCATAAAAGTAGATCCGGCTACAATGTTCTTCATAAAAGTAGATCCAGCTACAATGTTCTTCATAAAAGTAGATCCGGCTACAATGTTCTTCATAAACACAGAGAAGTAGATCCGGCTACAATGTTCTTCATAAAAGTAGATCCGGGTACAATGTTCTTCATAAAAGTAGATCCGGCTACAATGTTCTTCATAAAAGTAGATCCGGCTACAATGTTCTTCATAAAAGTAGATCCGGCTACAATGTCCTTCATAAAAGTAGATCCGGCTACAATGTTCTTCATAAAAGTAGATCCGGCTACAATGTTCTTCATAAACACATAGAAGTAGATCCGGCTACAATGTTCTTCATAAACACAGAGAAGTAGATCCGGCTACAATGTTCTTCATAAACACAGAGAAGTAGATCCGGCTACAATGTTCTTCATAAAAGTAGATCCGGCTACAATGTTCTTCATAAAAGTAGATCCTGGTACAATGTTCTTCATAAAAGTAGATCCGGCTACAATGTTCTTCATAAAAGTAGATCCTGGTACAATGTCCTTCATAAAAGTAGATCCGGCTACAATGTTCTTCATAAAAGTAGATCCAGCTACAATGTTCTTCATAAACACAGAGAAGTAGATCCGGCTACAATGTTCTTTATAAAAGTAGATCCGGCTACAATGTTCTTCATAAAAGTAGATCCGGCTACAATGTTCTTCATAAAAGTAGATCCGGCTACAATGTTCTTCATAAAAGTAGAGATCCGGCTACAATGTCCTTCATAAAAGTAGATCCGGCTACAATGTCCTTCATAAAAGTAGATCCGGCTACAATGTCCTTCATAAAAGTAGATCCGGCTACAATGTTCTTCATAAAAGTAGATCCGGCTACAATGTTCTTCATAAAAGTAGATCCGGCTACAATGTTCTTCATAAAAGTAGATCCAGCTACAATGTTCTTCATAAAAGTAGATCCGGCTACAATGTTCTTCATAAACACAGAGAAGTAGATCCGGCTACAATGTTCTTCATAAACACAGAGAAGTAGATCCGGCTACAATGTTCTTCATAAACACAGAGAAGTAGATCCGGCTACAATGTTCTTCATAAACACGGAGAAGTAGATCCGGCTACAATGTTCTTCATAAACACAGAGAAGTAGATCCGGCAATAATGTTCTTCATAAACACAGAGAAGTAGATCCGGCCTCAAAAAGTATAACATTCCGATTTTTCTTGGATCTGGTTGGTGTTGTGTTTTTGAAATCACTGTGGAATAAACATCAGGGGTAAAAATATTTCAATGGCCAGTCCCTGTAGTGCTTCATTTGATGTGTATTATCCAGTAACCCATTGCAGATATTGGCACAGATTGCATGTAGGGCCTGCTGTGGTCTGACAGCGTGTGTTTTTGTCCCGTCAACGTTGAGCTGAAGATGTTTTGGATCTTCATTTGAGTCTAATTGATCCCATCTCATCTTTCATGCGTTCGGAAAGTTTGCTTTAGCTGACTGTGTTCAGGCGTCATGTAAAGCTTTTGTTTGTTTGTTTCACGAATGTTCCATACTGAGATATTTTGTCTTTCAAACGCTCTCCTGACTTTCATTATCATTTCGGATGAAAAGCAGTTTTCGGTTGGTGTATTGAAGCTGCAAAGTGTGTGTGTGTGTGTGTCCGTGTGAAGCAAAGGAAAGATGTTTCCTGTCTGAAAGCACCAAACAAGTTAATTTACGCAGCGGAGGGGAGACAGGATAATTGGTCCCTTGATCAAAGCGGGATGTTCGAGTGGGACAGCAGCTAGCGGTCCTGCCGCTTTAGCATGCAGCGCTACATTGTGTAATTGGACTATGTTTTCTGCTGTGGAAATGCACCTAATCACCTGCGCTTGTCTGTTCTGCTTTTACCCTCAAATCCACAAACCAGAAGAGACTGCGCAAGCTCTGTGATGTTTGAAAGCTGCACACACTGATTACACCAAACACAACCAGTTTTTTTCCTCTTTGTGTTTTGAGTTGCACGGCCGGGACATCCAGAGAGAAGAGTAAATCTTTGTTTTAGAGTGATTTTCAATGAGCCTTCTCATTAATGTCACGTTATTGTTGTTTACAAGCTTTTTTTCCACTCTAACTGGTCTGAGAGGATTGGTGTAACCAGATAATTTGCATTGTGGGAAAATGAAACCCGGTCAAATCCGCTGATGTTAATCACTTATAAACATGCTCTTTTTATCTGTGATCTCGTTGGCTAATGAGATATAATTGTCTAAATCGTGTAACCTTTTATTTTCCTACTGAGCATTACATAAAGCCATTTTATGAGTCTCAGAACATTAACGCTCAGTAATTTTGAATATCATCTGCTTCACCTGCTGTGGTAATAAGTATGTCAATTGAGCCTTCGCAAAACGAGCAAAGTGGACACTCTCAACACACCAACAGACACAAAAAAGCAGGTTACTTTTGGTATAAAACAAAGTCTCAGCCATCCAATGTTGTCATTTTTTTACGAAATGAACCAATAGATACAGTTTTGCACAATTATTTTCAGCCCTTGAACCGATATCTCTTTACTAGTAGCTATAGCACAAAATAAACATGAATGAACATCAGAAGGTATGTTGTTTCGACCGCAGAAAGACATCAATTCACTCTTAGAAGAAAAGGTTCTATATAGAACCGTATTTGGAACCCCTAAAAGGTTCCATACACTCTTTAAAAAAGGGTTCCTCTGGGTTCTATATAGAACCCTGGGGTTCCGTATTTGGCCGAATAGAACCTTTTACCAAAAAAAATGGTTCTATATAGAACCATTTTGGAGTTCCATATATTAAGCGGGGAATTGAACCATTTCTGGTTCTAAATAGAACCATTTCTGCTAAGAGTGTACACATTACACACCATTTTTCAAGTTCTCTGACGGTAATCTACTAACTCTCCTGTCTGGTTTGTTTGTCGGACAAAATGGCGGATTCAGCGTTATGATTGGTCAGATCACCTGTCAATCAAACCCCTGGCAAAAGGTCAATTGCTTTCACTCATTTGTAACTCTTCCTCCAGCACATGCACTTTACCGGTGAAAAGTTTGTGATTGTTTCCACAAACATATGTATAAGCACATCTGTTTTCAACATTGATAAAAGGTTTCTTGAGCATAAAATCGTCAAATTAGGATGATTTCTGAAGGATCATGCGACACTGAAGACTGGAGTAATGATGCTGAAAATCACATAAATAAATTACATTTTAACATATATTATGATAAAAAGCTTGTTGTTTTGAATTGTAATAATATTTCAGAATTTGACTGTTTTTACGGTATTTTTTATCAAATAAATGCAGCCTTTGTGAGCACTTTGTATTTGTTTTGTTTTTTCTAATTCCAACCATTTATGTGGTAAACATCAGGTTGTTTTCATGCAGTCCTTTCATCAACCCCGAATCCCCGAGATCATTTAGTTTAATTTTAGTTTCAAGAGTAAATGCTGACGTCTAGCAGAAATGGAGCAAAATTGGTTTATTATTTTGTGTTTATTTAAAGCTTAAAAGCTGCATTTCTTCCTGTTTTCCTCTCTAAAACCTGTTCTTGATAAGTCTTGAGGGATTTCTGCTCTGAGTGCTGTACAGATGTTTTCGGCTGTAAACAAAGACATATTGTCTTCCAGAAGCATCTGCCGAATGGATAAAGTGTGCTCCGTCACGCAGATTTATTAATATGGAAAACATTAAACCACACCAGTTTTTCCCTCGTTTTCTTTTGACAGATAACCATCCACACGACTACACCAGCCATCTTGATCTCACTGGGTCACACACTCCTAAAATCGGTGAGTCACTTAACTCGTTTGTTTCCAGGTAACTCATTCATTCATGTCCGCAGTTATGAAACGACACTCCGAGTTTAATTGATTTATGATGAGTCTTCCACATCCAGATAGTTTGAAGTGTGAAAAACAGGGTGGATAATATCAGTGCGGTGTAGATTTGAGAAATTAATGGAGCTAGATTTTATCTCCAGAAAAGATTTTCATAATTAGCCTCATCAAATGAGCACTGATAATCTCCATTACTCAAGATGCTTGACTCCCCGGCAGTCCTCAAGATCAGAGACGGCTTTCACCAAAAAAAATTGATTGGGGGAAAAAAAAAAAAGCATGGCTTTGACTCAAATAAAATAAAATAAAAAAGTCTCTTGATAGGAAATTAAAAGCTTAGCCTGTAAATGGCCCCGCTAGCAAAACAGTATGCTAATCGGATCTGCAGACGTTATTGAAAAGCCACAATTGTAATTATTCTGACTATATCTTGCATTACAAATTTGAAGCTTTTCAGGCTGCAAAGCACACATCTCTCGTTTCGAAGCGGCGACGCCATTAGCTTTTGTACTCAATTAAATTAGCTTTGTTTGCTAAAGCTGTCATTGAAAACGAACTGGTCTGGAGGAAGTTAATATCAGCTCTCTCCAATAATAATGAAGCGCCATTCTGTGTCGAATCAACCTGAGGTCCACAGCTCAAATAAATGGAGATAAATGGAGTACATAAATGGAGAAGAAAGCCAGAATATTGAATGTCGAGGCTGAATATATTCCAAGTAATCCACCATTTTGTTGAAGGTGTCAAAATAACCATTTCCACCTGTGAATTGGAGCCAGATTACAGTGGGGTAAAAATGATTAGAAAGTATTTTTGGTAATACTTGAAAGCTGTCTCTTTGGTAAAAGAGAGATTGGTAGGTCTGTTGACTTTAGCAATACTTGTCTCATTATATGCCAACGGCAACAGTTAAAGAAGACCTTTTCATGATTGAAATATTAATGACATCTTATCTGATAATTTACTCACCCCCATGTCATCCAAGATGTCCATGTCCAAATTAAGGTTTTTGATGAAAACATTCCAGGATTTTTCTCCATGTAATGGACTTCAATGGGGTCCAAACGGTTCAAGGTCCAAAAGACACTTTCAGTGCAAACTACAAACTGTTCAAAGGGCTTTAAACGATTCCAGACGATGAATAAGGGTCTTATCAAGTGAAACGATCGCTTATTTAATAAATAAATAACAAAATTTAAGTTTTATAAGCTCAAATGGTCGCCTTGCTCTGTTCTGTGATGCACGTTCATGACTCTCCTGTTCGAACTCGTTCATCAAAATTAATAAATCTTATTTCGTGTCATTTGGTTCAGTCAACGAACGAAATGAACGAGTTGACTTGGGAAAAGATTCGTTCATTTTGATGAACGAATCCCTTTGCGTACATCTGATACTTTTTAAAGGGGAATGTCTGAAGAACAAATAGTGATGAAACTAGAAATCGATCTCGTTTTCCTCGTTCAAAACAATTGAATAGAACATTCCTGCCAAAAATATTCTTTTTTCCAAAGTTTGCACATGTACCTGTAACTCTACACATTAAACATATCACAATATCCTTGAGGATTTTGGTTCTTAAGAAGGTTTTGTTTTGTAATCTTCATTTTTAAGGCCCTCGGTGGTTCAATCCCAGAGATATTGGGATCTTAATGTTGCTCAATGTTTAAATTGTTGAATTTTATTTATTTTCAGGCGTTTTTGCACACAACTGATACTTTTTTTTTTTTTTTTTTTTTTTTTTTTTTTTTTTTAATTGACATTGCAAGACATAAAATACACTTTTGGTCATATTATACAACATATTTGTCCTTGTCCTACATTATCATTTTTTCTAAAACAAAACAGAAAATCAGTAATAAAAAAGAAATAAAAGAAAATATTAATAATAAAAAAATTTAAAAAACATGGTGATACTTTTATTTTTAAAGAGGAATGTCTGTAGAACAAATAATGTGGAAAGTGGAAATGTATTTTGTTTCCCATGATCAAAAACAATTGCATTCAACATACCAAAAATATTCTTAATCCAAAGTTAGCAGGCCTGTAAGTCAAGAAGTTTTAAGATATCTAAATATATCCTCTTAGATTTTCCCTCTCAACTAACTTTTCTTTTGGATGCTTCATTTTTAAGGCCCAGTATGCTTCATTCCCAGAGATATTGGGATCTCAATGTGGCTCCATGTTCATTTTTTTCAATAGTGTGGTAACTGCATACAATCATTTTGTAATGATAAAAGTGCCATTGTTTACTGTCCTCTCCAAAATAGTGGATTAATCAGGAAATATAAATATGGCATTTTATATGTTGGTCTTTCTTCAGAAAATAATATGAACAAAATCTAAATCCAGTCAAGTTTCTGAAATGTGGTTGATCTGACACAGAACGGCCCTACAATATGTCACACCGTGAATTAAAATTTTGCAGAAAACAAGTTACTGATTTTGTTTTTCTCACTTGGGTTTGTTAGGACACAGAATAGAGCACTATGGTAAGTAGTACACATGTTTCACATGTGTATAATTTCTCATTTCTCATGTATAATCTCCCAGTGTTGGTGTTTGTCACAGTACTTGTACAATGTCTACATTACAGCAAAACGTATTTTTGACTTATTTTCCTTAAAAGGGTCATCGGATGCCCATTTTCCACAAGTTGGTATGATTCTTTACGGTGTTCATGTAACATTTGTAACATACTTTGGTTAAAGTTCCTCAATGGTTGTGTAAAACAACACCCTTTTCCCTCCTCAAAAAGTTGTTTCGGTGCATGTCTCTTTAAATGATAATGAGCAACTGCTCGCCCCACCCCTCTCTCCCATGGGGGCGTGTCGAATGGCTGAGGGCAGAAATATGCTAATACGGGACAGTCCATCAGTGGTTGTGGGCGGAGCATGAGCATTACCACATCATAGTGCTCGGTCTGACTGACTTTTTGAGGATTAAAAGAAAAAAAGTTACATTTTTTTAATTGTATGCTGGTTGTGTCCACACACTGCAAAGACACATCTATACGCACAAGTGAATTTTGCATCCAATGACCCCTTTAAATCAAGATCCATTTACATGAGGCACACATACACTCTCAAAAAAAAAAAAGGTACAAAAGCTGTCACTGGGGTTGTACCTTTTCAAAAGGTACACTTTTGTACCCAAAGGCTACATATTGGTACCTTAGTGGTACATATTAACACTTAAAATGTACATATTACCACCTAAAATATACATATTACCACCTTAAATGTACTTATTAGCACCTAAAATGTACATATTAGGACCTAAAATTGAAATTAGCTCCCGAAATGTACGCATTAACACCTTAAATGTACTTATTAGCACATAAAATGTACAAATTAGCACCTAAAATATACATATTGCCACCTTAAATGTGCTTATTAGCACCTAAAATTTACATATTAGGACCTAAAACTGACATTAGCTCCCGAAATGTACATATTAACACCTTAAATGTACTTATTGCACCTAAAATGTACATATTAGCACCTAAAATGTACATATTAACACCTAAAATGTACATATTGCCACCTTAAATGTACTTATTAGCACCTAAAATTTACATATAGGACCTTAAATTGACATTAGCTGAAATGTACATATTAACACCTTAAATGTACTTATTACACCTAAAATGTACATATTAGCACCTAAAATGTACATATTAACACCTAAAATGTACATATTGCCACCTTAAATGTACTTATTAGCACCTAAAATTTACATATTAGGACCTTAAATTGACATTAGCTCCCGAAATGTACATATTAACACCTTAAATGTACTTATTGTACCTAAAATGTACATATTAGCACCTAAAATGTACATATTAACACCTAAAATGTACAAAATAGCACCTAAAATATTGATATGAACACTTAAAATGTACATATTAGCACCTTAAATGGACAAAAATGTACCTTTTGAAAAGGTACAGCCCCAGTGACAGCTTTTTACCTTTTTTTCTGAGAGTGTACTTAAGGTGGTAAGTCTTGTTTTCTGAATAAGGTATCAAAATTACGTGTGTTTATACTTAAAACAAGAGAAAAAATAGACATTTGATTTTGTTTTAAGCATAAACTCCCTTAATTTTGACTTTTTTTTTCAGAAAACAGACTTCTCAAGATCGTCGCTGTAAGAATAAATATATAATAGAAACACATGCCACTGAAAATAGTGTGGAGATCCCAGGCCTGGCAGTCCATAGTCTCATAAGCATACACTGTAAAAAAATATTGTTGGTTTAACTTAAAAAAGTAAGTAACCGGGTTGCCTTAAAATTTTAAGTTGATTGAACTGGAAAAAGTGAGTTAATACAATGAAGGACATTGATTTAATCATCAGAAACTCAAAATTATATGTTATCTGAACTAAATAAATTATTTAAGTTGATTTGACAAAAGAAAAAAAATGTTGTGATTACTACACTGTAAAAAATATTGTTGGTTTAACTTAAAAAAGTAAGTAACCTGGGTTGATTGAACTGGAAAAAGTGAGTTAATACAATGAAGGAGATTAATTTAATCATCAGAAACTCAAAATAATAAGTTATCTCAACTAAATGAATTATTATAAAGTTGATTTGACAAAAGAAAATATGTTGTGATAACAAATCTTGAAAATATTTTTTTTACAGTGCACAATTAAAATTAGGGAACGACATTCCCAACAAGTTCATAAAAAACGATTACACACACACACACTCAGACAGCACAAACACAGAGCTTTTATCGGTTGTGTTTCATCTTTCTCTGCCTCTTTTTCTTCCCCACCCCGCAGAGAAGCCGAGAATGAACAACATCCTGACGTCCCAGACGGAGCCGTACGAGCTGTCGTTCTCCCGCTCCTTCCAGAACCTCACTCACCTCCCGCCGTCCTACGAGATGGCCCTGAAAGCAGACCTGGGTAACTACCTCACGCTACACAACACATCCAGAGCGAGCCAGACTGAAATCTCTTTACAAATGAGACCAGAATCATATAAGATGGTGGATTTGTGTATGATTTGCCATTCATCACTGAATCAATCACACTAATATAAAAGTGTAAAGTGTTAAGGAAAATGATGCTTTCCTTTTATGGTTATGAGGTTAAGAGAGAGAGACTTCAACAAACACAATTTCTGATCGAATGCAGTTTTAATGTCGTATGATCATTTATCAGAGCTTACATTCTCTGGTAGAAATATTTTTTCCATATTCGCTGCAATCTGCAATAGGTTCCCTTTGTGAAGGGTTTATAAAAGGAGTAGTTCACTTAAAAAAAAAAAAAACTTTTGCTGATAATTTACTCACCCCCATGTCATCCAAGATGTCCATGTCTTTCTTTCTTCAGTCAAAAAGAAATTAAGGTTTTTGATAAAAACATTCCAGGATTTTCTCCATATAATGGACTTTAATGGGGTCCAAACGGTTCAAGGTCCAAAAGAGAGTTTCAGTGCAAACTGCAAACTGTTCAAAGGGCTTTAAACGACACCAGATGATGAATAAGGGTCTTATCAAGCGAAACGATCGCTCATTTAATAAATAAATAACAAAGTTTAAGTTTTATAAGCTCAAATGGTCGCCTTGCTCTGTTCTGTGATGCGCGTTCGTGACTCTCCTGTTCAAACTCGTTCATCAAAATGAACGAATCTTTTTCTGAGTCAATTTGTTCATTTCGTTCATTGAATGAACCAAATGACATGAAAAAAGATTCATTTTAATCTGAAAAAAATAAAAATAATTAATGTGAATAGCAGCTCAAGATTTTGGAGACATGTTTGAATTCATATGGAGATAAATTGCCTTTTCTATTTATTAATTAAATTTAGGAGAAGCAGTCAAGCTCTTAATCTAATGTAAATTCACATTAGCAACCCAGTTTGATGTGTAATATAATACAGTTAAAAAGTTTGTGTTAAGAAAGACATTTTAAAGGAAGAAATTTTAATTGATTTTCCAACATTTATAATGTTGGAAAAATGTATATTTAGTCATCAAAGAATTTCATATTATATGTGAATCTCAAATATCACATTATAATGATTTCTGAAGGATCATGTGACACATGAAGACTGCAGTAATGATGCTGGAAATACAGCTTTGATTACAGGAATAAATTACATTTTTACATATATTCACATAGAAAACAGCTATTTTGAATTGTAATATTTTTTCAGAATATTGCTTTTTTTCTGTATTTTTAATCAAATAAATACAGCCTTGTTTCTTAAATGAGTGAGTTTTCCCCGTGACCTTGTGCGGGACGCTCGGCTCCACCGAAAAAAAAGGTACAAAAGCTGTCACTGGGGCTGTACCTTTTCAAAAGGTACACTTTTGTACCCAAAGGCTGCATATTGGTACCTTAGTGGTACATATTTGCACCTAAAATGTACATATTAACACTCAAAATGTACATATTAACACTTAAAATGTACATATTAGCACCTAAAATATACATATTACCACCTTAAATGTACTTATTAGCACCTAAAATGTACATATTAGCACCTACAATTTACATTTTAGGACCTAAAATTGACATTAGCTCCCGAAATGTAAATATTAACACCTTCAAAGTACTTATTAGCACCTAAAATGTACATATTAACACCTAAAATGTACATATTAGCACCTAAAATTTACATATTAGGACCTAAAATTGACATTAGCTCCCGAAATGTACTGATTAGCACCTAAAATGTGCATATTAACACCTAAATTTACATATTAGCACCTAAAATTTACATTTTAACACCTGAAATTTACATATTAGCACCTAAAATGTACATATTAACACCTAAAATTTACATATTAACACCTAAAATGTACATATTAACACCTAAAATTTACATATTAGCACCTAAAATTTACATATTAACACCTAAAATATAGATATTAACACTTATTTTGAAAAAACAGCTATTTTGAATTGTAATATTTTTTTCACAATATTGCTTTTTTTTCTGTATTTTTTATCAAATAAATACAGCCTTGTTTCTTAAATGAGTGAGTTTTCCCCGTGACCTTGTGCGGGACGCTCGGCTCCACCGAAAAAAAAGGTACAAAAGCTGTCACTGGGGCTGTACCTTTTCAAAAGGTACACTTTTGTACCCAAAGGCTGCATATTGGTACCTTAGTGGTACATATTAACACTTAAAATGTACATATTAGCACCTAAAATGTACATATTACCACCTTAAATGTACTTATTAGCACCTAAAATGTACATATTAGCACCTAAAATTTACATATTAGGACCTAAAATTGACATTAGCTCCCGAAATGTAAATATTAACACCTTAAATGTACTTATTAGCACCTAAAATGTACATATTAACACCTAAAATTTACATATTAGCACCTAAAATGTACATATTAACACCTACAATTTACATATTAGCACCTAAAATGTACATATTAACACCTAAAATTTACATATCAACACATAAAATGTACATAATAGCACCTAAAATATAGATATTAACACTTATTTTGAAAAAACAGCTATTTTGAATTGTAATATTTTTTTCACAATATTGCTTTTTTTTCTGTATTTTTAATCAAATAAATACAGCCTTGTTTCTTAAATGAGTGAGTTTTCCCCGTGACCTTGTGCGGGACGCTCGGCTCCACCGGGACTGCGCTTTTAATAAACGCACTGCAGATCTCTCCGGATAAAAGCACCTGCTAAATGACAAACAACCAGACAGCTTTCATTAAATATAAAGGGCAGGATAAATGAAACATTAAAGTGTGGACATGCTGCGTTAACATAGTCCGAAACCATTATGATCAGATGGATGCCAGTGTACGGATGACATTCAAAAGCGAAAACCAAGAAGAATTACTAATGAAGCCGCAAACGAACGCAAACTTGCCCTGACAGACGAGAAAAATCAAGTCACTTTTATTGCTATTTATTTCACTACTGATTCAAAGCAGCTTCACAGTGAAAATCCATATTTGCTAAAAAGACAATCGTGTTGATTCAGTTTGGATCAATAACCGAGTCGCTGTTGCGAAATCAGTCTATTCTGGAACAAATAAACAGAAGACGTTCAGCTCGGCTCAGGTTTTGTTCTCATTTGATGGTGTCAGGCCAGTCCAATCAACTCTTTTACTGAATACTAAGCGAGCCAAACCCGGTTTTAGTGCTTTCGACGTTGTTCTGTTCCCAGTGGGGTGTGAATAATGGTGCTTCTGCCGTCTTAAATCACAAGCCCTGTTTGCAGTGTGGTTTGAGTGGTTTCAGACTTCACCTGCTGTGAGGCGGACCTGCGAGTAATGAGCAGTAATGAACAACAATTAGTCTCGTTTTTAATAGGGAGAAGCTTCGAGAGAGAGAGAGCAGGGTGGCATGACTTTAATTTAAAGATGGCATGCAATTTTTGGGGGGGTTTTGTCGTAAATTTAATCCTATAAATCCCAATCGTATTTGATACACAAATTTTATAAGGCCTCTATAAATGATCAAAACATAATCATCTATTTTTTAGTTCTTAGCAAGTGGTGTAATTGTAAAAACGTCCTCCTTCAGCTCGTGGTTCATGTGTCTTTTGCTGTGAAATCTTTACTGGTTTTTATAAAGTAAACGTTATATCTGTTAATAATGTTTCAAGATGAACCAACTTCGGTTACTTGATTATCCATCATTTGCGTCGAAAAATCTGAGTTTCGCACATGATCGTCTGGATTTTGAGGAAAGTTTGTTCATCATTGTATTGCATTATATTTTTTTAAAATAGGGTCGTCAAACGATTAATCGCGATTAATCGCATCTAAAATAAAAGTTTGTGTTTACGTAATATATGTGGGTGCACTGTGTATAATTATTTTGTGCATATATATACAGTATATATATAAATACATACACTGCATGTAAGAAAAAATATTATTTATATGTCAAATATTTATATTTAAATATAATGTAAATTATACAGTATACATGAAAACATTTCTTAAATATGTACAAGCATGTGTGTGTGTATATATATATATATATATACAAAATAATTATACACTTCATAAACATATGTACACATATATGTGTACATATATTATGTAAACACAAACTGTTATTTTGGATGCGATTAATCGCAGTTTAATCGCAAATAATTTTAAAACTACAGAGCTTTCATCATAAAGCTAAACATTCAAATATTATCTTGCTAAGACATTATTGCCAGATATAGAGACGACTGATGTTTATATGCATTGTATGTACGTATCTACTAGACTGCTATAAAGATCTCAGGGATTTACATTCCAGAATTTCGTCCATATACTATATATTAATCGCAATTAATTTTTGCATAGCCCTAATATATAAATATATATAATGCAAAAATTAATTGCGATTAATCGCATCCAAAATAAGTCTGTGTTTACATAATATATTTGTGTGTGCTGTATATAATTATTTTGTATATATAAATACACACACATGCATGTATAAATTTAAGAAAATGTATTATTCATATATAAAATATTATATTTATATAATATAGATTTTGTATTTATATATATATATATATATACACAGAATTTAAGCGCAAATAATTCTTAAATATATACATGCATGCATATGTATTTATATATACAAAAAAATCATACACAGCACACACAAATATATTATGTAAACACAGACTTTTATTTTGGATGTGATTAATCGCAATTCATTTTTGCAGAGCCCTAATATATAACTTTTTGGCCAGATAAATATCAGTTGCAACAAATTGCATATTTTTTGCTCAGTTTGAGCCTTTTTTATACTCGAGTGTGAGCTTCATATAATATCTCTAACTATATGATATAATATCTAACTATATGAGCCTTAAAAGCCTGGTGTATCAAATATGATACTTAACAAAAAACACATATGCAACTTTTTGGGGGGGATTTTTATAAAATATTTAGTCTAAA